GAATGTTAAGGATTCAAAAACCAATGCTTGGAAGCAGAGGAATCACTTGCGCTGTTGGCAATAGTAAGATCTCGTTGTTTGGGTGGTGATAAAATGAAATTTGACATTTCTAGCTCGTCGATTTCTGCATTTTCGTGACTAAATCCCCCTTCCGGTTGAAATATTGTGATTCATTTCAACGTCACGGTCTACGTTAGCTCCGAGGTTATCTACATCTATATTTTGGTTTATTTCTAAATGTTGGTTAGTGTTTGCACTTTTAAATTTTTTTTGTGTAAACAACAGCAAACGATACTGCAACTAAGAAAGAGAAAAATTCCAGCTACACACGATACAAAAATAAAAACTTCAGTACCTATGTCCGACAATGATAGGTCTGAGGTGCAAGTTGAAAGGCTTGTATATCATTTTCCATCCGTGAAAGTAACCGAGAATTAGGTGTCAAATCTACCTGGTAGAATGCTGCTTCGTCTTGATGAATTTCAAGATATCTTCAAGTTGTTCTATCCCGTCTGTGTACTGACATTTAACCTTCTGAAATGAAAAAAAAACAATGTACTTTTTTATTCTTATTTACAATTTAACTTTTATAATGCCACACCAAGTTGTAAAGGCAAAATATAAAAAATGAAAAAGGGCCTTCCTTTTTGGCTAAGCAAAATGTTACAGTACTGTAACTATTATTATTTTTGACGGTCAAACCATCGAAGAATAATGAATCGTTATTTAATTCCATTAAACTGACCATAACCTTTATTTATGAAATGCAGTTTGAAAGCATATCAACTTTTAACCCCTAGTCTATCAGCAACGGTTGTTTTCTATGTATTGCATTCCTTCTGTCTCTACTAGCAATATGCCACTTTATTCTGGCATGTACTGTGAGATTGAACAAAGTCACATTTCTCAGTGAGTGTTCTGTATAGTAAATACATTCTGCAATAACATATAAACAATTGCAATATTTCAAAATAAATTGCATCCCCAACTACACTGACAATGTAGAAATAAAATGAGACAAGTAAGATTTTAAGTGAGTCTCTAAACCACTTTGTTCTGCACCTTCCCAAAACTGGTCTAAGATGACTTTTTTGCGGTCATTCTCGAAAAATAGGCAACCGACGCTTTAGGTATAGTATGCTTTGGATGTTGCAGATGTCCTCAGACTTATTCCTGCAGATTCAGAGAAAAGTTTGTTTTATTGCAGACTACGCACCTAACAGTTGCTTCTTTGGGTACTTTATTGTCCTTTGACAGGGGCGTGGTGTACAAATGATCACTTAGGGCAATGGAATCTTCAATTTGTCTGTCGTGGCAGGTTGCAATTTGTCTTATTGTACTAATTTAGAAGATGAGGATCGCTTACATTCATTACATATGGCTACATGCCGAATGCAATTGTCATATCTTGCCTTGAATATTTTGAGACATACTTTTTCCATCCTTGCACACAAAATAATGTCTATGGCAAAGTTTATAATTGCCAGTGTAACATACGGGTATGGCATCAACGGTGAAAGATAATTTATTCTGGACTTTGCCTAAGTCACTGCTATATATTTCCATGGCCAGGGTAATCTCGGACTGACATTTCTCAGCTAAATGCAAAGCAATAATGTTGAAAAGCTTTTCAGTGTTTTTGTTTGGTTCTACCAGGCAATATTTCTGCCAATTCCTTAATATTTTAGATATTTTTCCTATGATTATTTAAGAAACGCTTTGTATCTAGAAAATGTTTTGGCTCTGTTAATAATATGAATAAGGCATTGAAAAGCCAATTAATCGACACAATGAACTACAATGCATTGTGGGAAACTCATATTGTGTATGTCACTCGCAAATTCAATATTTTTTATTAGCCAACATTTCAACTGTAAAATTATAACATTACATTGTCTTCCATTTTCCTGCACATGTTAAAAAATATTGTCTGTTGGCTGAAATAACCAACATTAACTTTCTTTTCCCTCTTGTCCTTGTTTAACATGTTTTTATCATTAGTTTTGCACTGTACCATTGCATTCATTACGTGAAAACCAAATCTAAATTATGTGCATATGTACATGTAAGTGCTAATCTAATATAGCAATACTACCCGTTTCCTTTAAAGCTCCAAGAAAGACCATTTCTTCCCCATCTGTGTATCCTTGTTTCACGGCATTCTACAACAGCAAAATATTGTTTTTAAAACATTAACAAATTTCTCTGCCATCCAGATGTTTAAATAATTTTCCACCGATAGATAAGAATGAACCAATATTAATCTAACAGAGACTATGATTAACAATATTATCAACACAAGTTTTTTTAAATCATTTATTTCAAAGGTGAGAGGACTATATGGATTAACAACTAGTAAAGCTAGCACTAAAGTGAAAGGATGCAAGGATGTGTTAAAAGTATATGTGTACTTTTTTCGACAGTTGGATTTGAATCATCATTATTGCAATCGAAGTATGGAAACTCTTACTTTACAATGGCATGTTAGTAAATGTTAGTAAATTTTGAACTTTTTAAAACTTCAAAAATTATTTTACTGAGTGTTTATGGTTTTCTGTATGATAGTTTAATACTTTAACATTTATATCGTAAATTGATATAATAATGATTTAAATTAAAATGAAACAATACATTTAACTGAATAGTGTTGTATAAGGAGTATGTAAGAAATTTAGTGTAGATCAGTTGATTTCATAAACTAGTATCTGACAACAGAGCTTTTCTGTTGATCATATAACGGGTTCTGGATGCTATTGGTGATGATAGGGTTGATTCGGATGATAAGAATTCTAATTCTTCCATGGGTGGTGCATAGGGTTCTGGTGATTGGTCTAAAACAACCATATGGGATACCAATGGTATTGATGATGTTGTACTGACTGGTGCAGGTTCTCGGAATGATTCTATGGAGTGAAATGATGTTGACGATCTTGATGAAGGCTTTTGCGGAGTTGAGGTTAATGGTGGATTTAAAATCTGTTGAGGAACCACTGGTCTGGAAGAGTCATGCTTAAATATGCTGGTGCACATGTTGGCTCTGTAATAGCATTTCTGTTAAAAGGTACATATTGTGGTTGCTGTTTTCGGAGGTGCAGGTATAATTTCAAAATTTTAGACACAGTTAACTATAAACACATAAATGAATTACAATATATTAAAGAGCTATAGTTTCATACCTATGGTGGGTGTCATCTTTTGTATGATGCCTTCAACTGTTATATTTTGATATGTAACTAAAAATTATGTTTCTGTTTTTATACATTAATTTTTACCATGGGTACTGTCTTTTTGGGTAGGATGAGTTAAAATAGGTCAATAAATTTAGTGTTTTTTTTAAATTAACTACTTTAATATTGGATATTTCTTTCTTTTTTTCATTGATAAGAGTAATAAGTAATTGTTATCAGTAAAACATGACTCAAAATAATTGAAAGGCTAAATAAAATACAGAGTTGAACAGCATTGAGGATCATAAATAGACAGAAAATGGTAACAATTTCATACCTGTAGTTGTTGTTTTACTTTTTGTGGTAAACTTTGTCCATGTTATGCCCTTAACTGAAAAACAAAATACAATAATTTAACATACTTAGAAAGAATAATGATAATGACATATACGATTCTGTTCAGATTCATACAACATACAATGTTGGCTATAGCTCTGTCTTTATCTATAGCAAGTTAGAACTTTGACATTAACTTATTTTTTATAACTATTCTATGGATATTTCTTTCAATGAAAAGGAATATAAGATATACAGAAAGATTATAATCTAGTTTCATATCTGTGGTTGTTGTTTTAGTTGTTTTGGCTGGATTACTATTGTCTTTAGTCTGTTTATTTTATCTTTACCTGAAAAGGTAAATAATAACCTTTATCATTAGCATAAGTTTATCTAGAGGGAGTTAAAAATATGACATCAAGATTACTCTTTTTGATTACTATTCTAATGCTATATATTTTTTCAATGACAAGGAATAGAAGATATTTAAAAATATTAAGGCATAGATTCATACCTGTAGGTTGTATTTTTGTTATTTTTGTAGTCTTAGTTCTTTGACTTTGTGTTATCTGCTTTTGGTCTTTTACTGAAAAAAAAATTATTTACTGATGGTACAGGTTGACCCTAACTAATTGTTGTTGTAATAACTGTCAAATAGTCATGATATTCAAATATCTTTGATCTTTTCTATTTAACAATTGATCAAAGTATGTACAAAATTATAAACATTATTACATACCAGTACTAGATGTTGATATTGGTGTAGTCTGTTCTTGTTCCATACTGTAAAACAAACATAATAGTTTTTTTTTCTCACAATAATTGAAAATTTAATGTAAATTTGCACCAGATGGTATAGATTGAAAACGTTAATAGTGAATCTCATACTTAAATATAATACTACAGGTTGCATTATTCTGTTGAAAATCAAAATTGTTATTATGTTTTATACTATGTAACCACATTGGTACAATGTAGATTATCCTTTATTAACACATTGATCTGTGATTGTAATCCAATTTTTGTCTTTTAAGTGTATTTAGCTAAGTTGCACATACAGGTTGAGACCACTAATTACATTTGAATAGTAATTTTCAAAATACTAATAAATAAAACACAGCCTTGAAAAATTGACCAATCGACACTATGAACTGTAATGCATTGTGAGTTACTACAAATTTACTAGGCATCACATAAATCATATAGAATTATATGTTAAAAACTATGAACTCATATAGTGTATTAGACTCAAATTCAACATTGTTTTTTATTAGACAACATATAAATTGTAAAATCTATAACAATACATTGTCTTCAATTTGCATGCACAGGTTAAAAAAAATTCTCTGGTGCCTGAAACAACCAACATCAACGTGTTTTCCTTCTTGTCAACACAGTAGAACGGGTTTAGACCATTAGATGTGCTTAAGCTTTGTACACAAGCATTCATTACGTGAAAACAAAATTTTAGGTGCTGATCAAATATTGTAATAATACCTTTTTCCTTCAAAGCTCCAACAGAGACCTTTTTCTTCTCCATCCTTGTGCCCTTGTTTCACAGCATTCTACAACATCAGAGTTCATTAAAGATTTTTTTTTTGCCAATTGAATTACTAAAATAATTAAGGAATAACTGTACTGTAAATGAAGAGTTGCCACCGTCAATTGTCGATTTGACAGTCGAAAATACAGTCTTACTGGGGAGGCGTAGTAATAACAAAAAGAAATGATATGTTAGAGCTTGAAAAAATGTATAAATTTGACAATAAATCGAAAAAATGTATAAATATGACAATTAAAAAAATTATGCAAAACTTCACGAATAATTTTGGTGCAAAGACGCTAAACGTGATGTCATACAAATGAAAACTTACAATATGGAGGTTATTATGTTACCTCTATGATTCAAATTTTGATAAAATCACATTAATACAGTAAATTCAAGGTAGGTATCTAACATTTGTTGATCCGATTAATTTTAAATGACGGGTCCTTCCTTACTTACTTACGTCTTATCAACTGTGGATTTGACGGTAACTTTTAGCCAATGAAAAAAATTGTTACATAAATAATGCATTCGAATTTTGCATTTATTTAAGTTAAAAATTATAGGGCCTTGTTTGATGGTGGTAATGGGGGTAACTTCATGACGAATAATGGTAAAAATTCTTGCCAAATGACGTTAACGGTATTTTTTGGTGCATGACAATAAAATATGCACTTTCTTTTAGACGACAAATCACCATAAAGATATTTTGATGAATCACGGTAAAATCTTAATCAATTTGACGCTAACGGTAGCCTTAAATGGCCTTTTGACGCCTGACGTTAAAGGGCATTGCTACCCTCTTGTTTATACTGTTTGGCTCTTAAAACTATATATTTTGCCACAAGCAAGGGGTAAAATACAAGAATTCAATTTCATTTTAAGTCTCCCTTATCCTATTAGTAAGGAAAAATGGTGACATTGATTACTGTTATTCCTTTTGTTTGTTGCCATTTTTTGTGCTTTTAAGTTGTATTTTTTAAGTTTACGAAATTAAGAATGTGCAAGTTAACAAGTAGTTTCTGAGTTGAAAATGTAAGCTTTCCTTTGCTCTTTGCCATACAAAGTCATCAAGTCTAAAAAAATATAGATATACAGACAAAAACAGAGTCAAACTCTTGAAAGCTGTGCATGTGAAAATGGATTGACATGGGGTTAAATTTAAAAAAGCCATCAAGTTATCCCCACTGATAAAAAAAATTACCTTAACTCCTATTGGAACTACCAGATTTTCTTTGGATTTTGCAGAGCTGTTGTCATGTGCTGTCTGTGCTTTCAGTGCAAGATTTCCTCCTGCCTCTCATATATTCTTATTAATAAATCTCTTTGACCTGTGCAGATGAAGAAAAAAGGGTTAATGAACAATTGGACTAATTCAATTTAAATACAGAAATAAAATACACAATTTTGTATACCTTGTTTTACGAAAAAAATCTTGTCTTGCACCTTAGCCTTACCCTATATTTTTACACCCTCATATCTAATTATATTTAATCTCTAAGTTTTTTAAATGGATCATATTAAGATTTGCCAGGATATCATTTCTGTGCTTAATTAGTGGTTTAAACTGGTCTTTGAGTGTGAATAATTTTTATGCACCAGCCACCTGTCCTATGACATGGACCTGTTGTTCAGTGGTTGTCGTTTGTTGGTGTGATTCATATGAGTTTATCGTTTATGGTAGTTTTTTTTATATAGATTAGACCAATGGTATTTCTGTTTGAATTGTTAAAACTAGTCATTTATGGGCTCTTTATAGCTTGCTGTTTGTTGTGAGCCAAGGCTCTAGATCTGTGTTAAAAGTCATACTTTAACCTGATATCATTAACTTTTTATACATTCTGACTAGGATATGGAGGTTGTCTCATTGGCACTCATACCACATCTTCTTATTTATATAATATTACACACGCATGATCTTCATTATATTTGTGAACAGCAAGCAAAAACCTATTTCTAATGAAAAATCAGTAGATTGCATCCAAGAAAAAAACTTTTGTTACATATAAATTATTAGACCAAATTTGATAAAAAAAAATCACAATTTCATACACTTTTGTTATTCTTTAAAGAAAGAAGAAATCTTTTAAAAAAGGATGTGTTTTAGTAGTACATTTTTGGTCTGGTGAGAATTAGTCTGCAGCAGCTTCTATAACAAAACTACAACTTATCAATATATTGCAAATTTTCTGAAAACTAAAGGGCAACATTCACTGTACTCCTGTGGAGATACAAATTCCCTAATATCAAAAGGTCAGTATTACTCGATTTATTTCACTTGACTGGGCAGAGTTTAACTGGTTGGCTCATAATAAACCAGTCCATCTCCCGGGGGAGTTACTTCCTATATTTTTAGTGGTATGAGTGTGCCGCAAAACAGGGTCACTTTTTCATGCCCTGCTTGTTAGAACAGGGTCCCTTTTTAATGTCCTGCTGGTTAGAACAAGATCGCTTTTTCATGCCCTTCTGGTGAGAACAGGGTCTTTTTTAAACAAAGTATTTGTCTAGAAAAGGGTCGCTTATTTAACTGTTTAAGATACAGTTTAGAACCCGGGTCTAGAACTGCATCTATTTTATATGGTCTAGAACAGGGTATACATTTTTTTAGCGTGTATAGAACAGGGTATGTTTTTCAATATTTTTGTTAAGAACAGGGTATGTTTCTCAATTTTTTCTGGTTAGAACAGGGTATGATTTGGCAAGTGCTGTCGGCACAGTTATACCTGAAAGGAGAGTCAGTAACCCCCCCCCCCCCCCCCCCCCCCCGGGTCCATCTATAGATAGGTTTTTAGAATAAACTCGTCAATGAAGCGTCCAGTCATTCTTTTGTAAATTCCTTTGAAGACACTGATAGGTGATTAGAAATCAGTAATAATTATAACAGCAATCATCCTAATCACACACATCTTCAAATAGACTGTCCATATGCAAAGTAAAACGTAAGCTCTGCTCGATCAGTTGAAATAACATTGGTTATATGTGTCAGTTATAACATTGATAAATCATACCAAGACTGTGGATATCATTGGAACTGGTATTCATGGTATTCATGGACCTTGCATTTGGTGTACTGGACTCTCTACAAGGACCACTGCTGCCAACACCACTTGTCCTTGGTGTATTAATACTACTTGTGCTTGGTGTATTAATACTACTAGTGCTTGGAGTATTCAACATGTTCCGGACTGGTGTTTGACTTATCTGCAAAGATATTTTCATTTCTTAGGTGTTAAGCAGTTTCCTCTCTGCAATTTTACAAATAGCCTGTATTTCAGTATGTGTACTTGCACAGTCGCCTGAAGATTTCATAATCATAGCGAAAAAATGGTGGATATAAAATATTTTTAGTAGTATTATAATAGAATAATAATTATAATACTACTAAAATTATTTTAATTCCACCATTTTTTCACTATAATTATGAAATCTTCAGGCGACTGTGGTACTTGCATGTCTTATGTTTATATTCTGTATGCTGAGACATGGAACACTGTAATAAATGAGGGGCCTGATGGGGGGGTCTCATCACGATTCACGAGTTGATTTTTTTGTCAATCACGATTCACAGAAAATAAATTTCCATGATCACGGATCACGAAAATATAAAAAAAATTAAATCTGTAGAAAAACGGATCACGATAACGAAAATGCGCCGATCACGAAGAACGAAAATAACCCATCAGGCCCCTCATAAATAAGTATCAATATGCCAAAAATAAAATATAGGAATACAATCACATCCAATTCATGGTCAGATTATATGTTTTTATACAGACAAGTTTGTCTAAGAATTTACCTTTCTTATGCATGTCTTAGTTTCTAACAGTATGTCCCATGCTAAATTTAGACATTGGGGTTTTCCATCTGATTTTCGTTGATGTAAGCGATTATGAGGATTTCGTTATAAAATTGTTGCAAAGTGCTTTCTTTGAATATCACCAGTTTAATGATTTATAAACTAAAACCGGCGCTTCTCTGTCTACTAAGATTTGTTCTGTAATAGAAAATCCAATATTGACACAGCCTATGCCCCTTATATCATCATAACAATATATGTTCTCAGTGAGTGGATATTGAGTTATCTTGTAAAAGGCTGATGGAATTTGCGTTTAAATACATGTATACACACTTACTCTGCTTACTTGTCTTGATGTGGATGAATTCTGATGAAGGATATCAGGACTTGTTGCCAGGAATTCATCCGTCCTTACATCATCCTCGCTTAGACAGTCTTCATGCTCGCTGTCTTGTATCACATCTCTTAAATTACGTGCTGCTCTCTGTCGGACACGACTCCTTTGAATATCAGCAAGAGGTGTTTGGTCCAAAGTTTCATCATCAGAAATATCGTTGAAAGACATGTTTGATACTAGATCTACAGTGATGACAACATTCGTGTTTGAATAGGCGCCGAAATCGCAAGAATCGTGTCTGCGGCTGTGTAAAAGAGATAAGGATGGCATGCCAAGATGCTGATTGGCTACGTTAAAGACATTTCCATATACAGATTGGAAAATAACCAAAACTTCAACCGCATGGGATTGATACTTCAGCGCCATTATTGAACCTGAGAGTTTTTATCAGCTTAGATTTTTTTTATAAATGGTGTAAGTATATCATTTAAAAAGCCTCTTAAACTTTACAGAAAAAAACATGGATATTGTGGTATATATATGTGCCCTTGTCCAAAGGTTCAATAGCCTGCAGCACCACCACTGAGTGCTTCAATGAGAAACTCACTAGAGAAAATCTCCTTGACACTTACAAATACCTACATGGTTTAAAATATGTATCTTGTTTTTATCTTATACCAAAAATTAAAAAAGAAATTGAAAAATATTACTTACTGTACATGTACATATGCATTTCAGCCATTTGCATACAAAAAATTGAAATTATAATTTTAATCCTAAACAATATTGTTAAACCAGGCATGCACCTGCCAGTTAATGTTTTTTCTATATAAAAAGAGGGGGGATATGACCTTTATTGGGACTCCAGGATCGGGTGTTTTTAAGCTTTGGATTTCTGCATTGACCCTTTTGGGATCCAGGAATTCTTTTTTCGAATTTCTGGATGTCGGATGTCAGGATTTAAATTCATTTAAAATTCGGGACCTCAGGATTTCGTGTTTTTAAGTCCAGGATTTCGGGATCAGGACCCCTCCTACCCCCACCCCCACACCCCCACCTCTATAAAGAAGAAGAAGAAGAACAAGATGCATGTACATTGTTAACATTATAAAAGAACATATATAACAGAGTCAACAGAGTCATAAATTTACATATTTTCACTGTTGAACACTGTTTAAAGCAGAATTATTTTTAATTTAAAAATTATTTATGGCAGTGGTGGATCAAGAGTAATTTTCAAAAGGGGGGTAGGTGACATCTTTTTTTATTCATATTAAAATTATTTCCTCAGCCATAAAAAAGATGTTTGCCCCCTTACCTACCCTAAAAAGAGCCGCATACTCAAAATATTTTCTTGTCCTGATGTGAAATTTTTTTTTCAATCAGATAGGCATGGAGATAAAAAAAACATTTGACACATTAATTTCTCTTTGTCAAAAAAGAAAAAAGAAAATGCCTACTTTCCTGATTAAACTGATTCAACCTTCGGGTAGGATTTGGACAAACCAAATTATTTTTATAAGTGTGGCCCAGTACCATTGCTAACTTGTACATTTTGTACCAATATAAAAAAAGAAGATGTGGTATGATTGCAATAGAGACAAGTCTCCCCACAAGATACCAAATGACACAGTAATTAACAACTATAGGTCACCATACCACCTTCAGCAATGAGCAATTAATTTAAGATAATTTAAGAATAAATTAACACTATTAAAAAAATGTATATCTCCAGATTCCAAAGGTCACCAAATTGGCAGGTGAGCCACAAACTCTTTCAGAGTCTAGTTTGATGACCTGTTTTTATACGACTGCAAAAAATTTTTGCGGTCGTATATTGGTATGACGTTGGCGTCGTCGTCGTCGTTGTCGTCCGGCTTTGTCGTCGTCGTCGTTGTCGTCCGGCTTTGTCGTCGTCCGAAGACACATTGGTTTTCGCACTCTAACTTTAGTTTAAGTCAATGGATCTCTATGAAATTTTACCAGAAGGTTCAATACCACTAAAGGAAGGTTGTGATTGAGGTTCCATATCACACAGGGAATACTGGGATTGATTTTGGGGTAATTGCCTCAAAATATTAGGAATTAGGGGCCAAAAAAGGGGCAAAAAACAAGCATTTTTCTAGTTTCATGACAATAACTTGTGTGTAAGTGTATGGATCTTTCTGAAATTGTACTACAAGGTTCCATATCACAAAGGGAAAGCTAAAATTGAGTTTGGGGGTAATTGCCCAAAACGTTTAGGATTAAGGGGCCAAAAAGGGGCCAAAATAAGCATTTTTCTAGTTTCCAGACAATAACTTGTGTTCAAGTGTATGGATCTCTCTGAAATTGTACTGCAAGGTACCATACCACAAAGGGAAGGCTGGGATCGATTTTGGGGGTAATTGCTTCAAAATTTTAGGAATTAGGGGCAAAAAAAGGGGCAAAAAAACAAGCATTTTTTCTAGTTTCAGGACAATAACTTGTGTGTAAGTGTATGGATCTTTATGAAATTGTACTACAAGGTTCCATATCACAAAGGGAAAGCTGGGTTTGAGTTTCGGGGTAATTGCCCTAAACGTTTAGGAATTTGGGGCCAAAAAGGGGCCAAAAAACAAGCATTTTTCTAGTTTTATATATAAAAGCAAATAATAATGATATGGTTTGAATAGGTAAATTTAAAATTTTTAAGTTCTTAGACCACATTCATTCTGTGTCAGAAACCTGTGCTGTGTCAAATATTTAATCACAATCCAAATTCAGTGCTGTATCAAGCTTGAATGTTGTGTCCATACTTGCCCCAACTGTTCAGGGTTCGATCTCTGCGGTCGTATCAAGCTGCGCCCAGCGGAGCATTTTATTTTTATTTATTAAACGTTTTTATTTCAGAATGCTTTATGGAGAGATAATAGTGATAAAGAGAAGCGGTGTAGATGGAGCACATTTTCCCTTAACTGTTAAAAACTGTTTGTTTGGAAGGTAATTATAATTAAAGTACTTATATAAAAGAAAATGATTATCTTGAATACCATGCTTCACATGTATATCTCTCTTTCCCATTTCTTAACTTCGTTTTACTTGAAGCAAATGTTATGAAACTAACGCGCAACGCTTATTACTACAAATGTGAGATTGAGTTTTATTTATTAAATTTTAGTGTCATCACAAGGTGTTATTGAATTATGTCACTTTATAAAATTTATGCAAGCTGGGGCATCATTCTTCTTTTAATCCCCCCAAGGGTGACTGGGGAATAGAAGTATGGTCACCATTGGTCTTCCTCCGACCGGCAGTAAAACCCGTGCTAAAGTGGGGTGTCCGTTTGGCTGTGCGGGATGTACAAATTTGCAGCCACGTCCGGTCAGAATGGGGACGTTAAATCCGATGCCTCGTGTAAAGAGAGTGCCACGCTCTTTGCACGTTAAGAACCCTTACAACAACTCTTAGAGGGGTCCGTAGGTGACCTGTTGCAAGGCTAAATTTCTGTCCCTATCCAATATACCCTCATTTCCCGTGGCAGTCTAAATTTCTCCGACCATAATCCCTTAATCTATTACAGAACCTACCTATTGTATTTATTGTGAACTTGTTCTCGTCCTGAATATGCATGAAATATTTGCCACTGGACGTTAAGCAACCAACAATCAATCAATCAATCTTCTTTTAATCCTCATGGCTTTCTTGACAGAAATTGAAAGGATCTCTATATACATTTTAGTATACATGTAATGTGCATAATGCAAAAAATCATTTATTTTTTGTTATGCTACAGCAAATACTTTTTTAGAGTTTGTGTGAATTTTACATTTTTTGGGGTACCATTTATAGTAAAATACAGTCGATTTTGAAATGCATGCAAGGTACAAAATGTATATACAGGATATACTGACAATGACTTTGTCATATTAAAGCACCATTCTTGAAAATTCAGTAACCCAGGGTCAAATAGGGTAGACATATATAATTATTATCGGCTTAAAAAGTTTTTGAACTTTATTCTTTGGAAACGCTACAGGCATGTTATGTATTATGCGCTCATGGCGCAGCTGTCTATTTTCATCATGCTTGAAAATATTGATTGGAAAACTGGTATATAATAGTTTTATCATGTTAGACCAGTTACAGATGAAGTTCGAATTTATTTTTAGTCTGATAAATTTGTTCAGAGTTTAAGCCATTGGACTCAAAAAACTCACTTACACAATAAAAAAAATCAGTTTTCAAAACTTTTTTTGTCATGCTTGAAGATATTTGTTAAATAGTTTACACCATGACATGGTATAGATCAAGTTAAAATTTTGTTCTTATACAATGACATTTTAACTGGTAGGGGAGGTAGGGGACTATGTATTACCATGCAATACTCACCATGCTTACAGAGTGCTTGTCTTTCATCATGAGTAAAGATTTTTATTTGATATAAATTTGGTATATATGTATAATATAGTCTTAAAATGAGACGTTACAGATCAAGGATTCAAGTTCCAATTTCGTTTTGGTTAAATTAATTGTTAATGGTAGGGGACTATGTTTTGCCATGCAATACTCTCAGAATGTATTCTGGATACTATCCAAGCTGGTCTGTGACCACACTTGTATTTAATGTAATTAAAGGACTAGTTGTAGATTAGATTATTCTGAAATCATAAAAACTAGTTAGTTTCCCTGCTTGCTGTTAAGGATTATCATTAAGAATGTAGCTTCAGTTAGACCCAAAAGTCAACCCATTATAGTATTAACCATGTAGATTTGTGTAGTCTTTTTTATATTTTTTTCAGGGGCAAAGATTGTGATATAATAATTAAGCTTCCAAATGTTTCCGGAGAACATTGTAGAATTAATGTATCAGACAATAAACAGGTGAATTGTATTTAAAATCTTAGTTAACTAAAACTAGTACCAAACCATGAAACAACAGTACTGATCATGCTGATATATCCAGTGGTGGATCCAGGGGGGGGGGGGGTGTTCCGGGGGTTGGAACCCCCCTTTTTTTTGGCCGATCAATGCATTTGAATGGGGACACATAGTTGGAACCCCCCTTTTTTTGGGCCGATCAGTGCATTTGAATGGGGACATATAGTTGGAACACCCCCTTTTTTTTGGCCAATCAATGCATTTGAATGGGGATATATAGTTGGAACCCCCTTTGTCATGGGTTGGGAACCCTCCTTTTTTAAAATGGCTGGATCCACCCCTGTATATCGGGTAAAAAAAATATTTGTTTTGTTTTCTGACCCTTATGGTTATGACCATAGTTATCGTTGCAAACACTATCATTAAATTAAAGTGTAGATTATCTTCCTAGCATGTCCTAATTTTTATGCCCCACCTGTTAAGTTATGGTTAAAAATGGAAAATGATAGGGAGAGTAGGACATCTTTGTACTGAGGAAACATTTTCCTTTAGTTTTCATGCCAAATTTTATTCAATTGTATATACAACGAAGTTTAATTTGAATTGTAAAATTAACAACTATAAGTCACTAAACAGACTTCAACAATGTGTCTAATTATAAATCATTCTTCTGTCCAAAAATGTTTTATTTTGAAAAAACTCAACTGTATGAAATATGTACTGTTCATTTCTTTTGTAGGTTTTTTTGACAAACTTGAGTATAGATAATCCTGTCTTAGTCAAATCTTCATATTTTGACAAACCAATAAAATTAAATCATGGAGATGTATTCACCATCATAGACAGATCTTTCCGCTTTGATGAAACAGAGGAATCAAAGAAGAGCAAATTAAGAAATCCAGACAAAGATTTGAATTTGAACAGACCATCAATCAGGATAGATGATGCACCAAAGGTAATTTGTATTTTTAGTCCCCTACTTACAAAGTCGAAGTAGACTTTAGGTTTGCACTCTGTCCGTCTGTCGGTCTGTTCATTTGCCAGTACGGCAAATCAGTTTTCTTCACTCTTTTCTTCAGGCTTGAAGATATTGATTTGATTTTATCATGGCAAGTTACAGATCAAGTTCGAGTTTTGTTTCAGTCTAATGATTTTGTGCAGAGTTATGGTCCTTGGAAAATTCACTTAAATAATCAGTGTTCCATACTTTTTAGTCCCCTACTGACGAAGTCACAGGGGACTTTAGGTTTGCACTCTGTCTGTCTGTCCACCCTTCAGGGCAGCAAATCAGTTTTCCAGGCTTTTTCTTTGTTCTTGAAGATATTGATTTGATATTTGGTATATAGTTTTGGAAAGAGTTCCATATGGCACCCCATGGAATAAACTGTAATACATTATTGTGTTCTTTTAGTATGGTGGGGGTGCCATATGGAACTCTTACCGTATTTTAAGCAAAAAGAATAAAATAAAGAAGGGGGATAGCCAGAATTGATTATTGTATATAATCAAGTTCTTTTTGTTTCTTTGTGTATTTTCTTCGGTCAACTATATGTGTATTCAAGGTATTGGATATTTATTATGCATGTTTTAACCAGTTGATATTGATGAAAGCTAGGGACTCATAGTTTGCCCTTTTATTGCATCTTAATTTTTCATGATTAAACAACAGCTTGGGTTATGGCTTCATTGGTTTTTATATAAGTTTTTGAAGAATAATTAAAAAGCAGAAAACAGATGAAAATTAATATTTGGTGCCGAACTGACCAACTTAATGCCGAAATGACTTTAAAATAGTTGCCTATTTGATCAGATGCCGATTTGACTTTTTCGATAGGTGCCGATTTAACTTGTACCCTCTGAACAACAGAGAGGATTGAGTGTATCCTGTTAAACTGTTGACCCTTCATAGTTCTATTTCCTGGATTTAAAATTTATTATTTTTTTAGCCATATTTTGTCAGTTGCTTACTGCAGGTTGACAGTTTCCGAAGGCAGGTCTGGTTTCCTCTAAATATAAATCTTCCCAGTTTTTGAATGACTGAATAAAGCATAAATAAATGTTCTCAATGAATTCTATTTAAACTATAATACAAGACACTAAGAAATAATATGAGGTGAAGACACAATTATAAGGGCTATTCCAGAAATGTCTGTATGGGGAGGGCGGAGGCACATTAATAAAAAAAAATTGCATGGGCTACTTCACATATTTTCCCAATCAAAACTTACAATTAAGGAAAAATGAATTAAAATTTTATTCAAACAAAAAGTGCTTTTTCCTCCCAATAAAATCAATTCTGGAATAGCCCTTAGTGAGACTTGCAATAAGAATAACATTGAACATGGGAAGGGGTGAAGCAAGCCATGTCATATAAAATCTGCAAAAAAAAATCATATTAATTTTCAATTTTTGAGGAAAAATTTAGATGAGCTACTAAAAATGGACTTAACATGAAGAATAAGAGGTCAAAATTTACTCCGAACAGCCCAGATGCCACCCCCTGCAATCTAGAAATTTTCCGGCTTTACGAGAAGGGGGGATACCCCCTCTCGAACTCACCCCCCCTTTTGCCTCTGCGACGCTTGGTTCGGGCCTTGCGGCCCTCGTGATTGCCTGCTACTTTTATGTTTCTTCCTTTTATTCAAAAAATTATTGAGAACACTGATGTTGTATACCTTCTGCAGTGTCGATGTGGCATGCAGTATGTTGGCGAGACAGAACAGCTATTCAACAAACGCATGAATGGTCATCAAAATGACTACACCTGCAAGCCCTACCTCCCTGTGAGTCGTCATTTAAGATCACCTAGGCACGCCCAAACTGATATTAAAAACCTTACCATCACAATCATAGACCACAGTGAGGGTTGGTCAAGGGCCGAAAGACTTGCTCAGGAAAGATTTTGTGTAAGAAAGCTAAGGACAGTTTCCCCAACAGGCATAAATGAAAAAAAATAGAATGAGTCACTCATTTTTCTACCATCATCACTCATTTTCCAGACATCACTTGTTTCCAGTAACTCCGGCTTCCTTACTTGACTCCTACAGTGTTAGGGAAGTTTTTGAATTATACTAGTTGAAATATCATGGTCAAGGTATTTTTATTTCATTTTTTTAGTAGGTAGTTTGTGATGAAGTGTAAGTCCAATCAACTTGAAACTTAGTACACATGTTCCCTTTGCTATGATCTTTTTAATTTTAATGCAAAATTAGAGTTTTTACCACAGTTTCACGGTCCATTAAACATAGAAAATGATTGTGCACGTGGGGCATCCGTGTGCTTGGGACACATTCTTGTTATTTTTGGCATGTCTTTGAGTCGTTTTTTAGAAATTTTAAAATAGTACAAGCAAATCTATATATGATGTTCTGGTAAAACTGTTTAACTTTCTTTATTGTAAAGAATTCAAGATTGCTATAGTTTAACAATCAAAATAGATTGATATATCAGATTCATTTTACTTCGTGATCATACTGATGAAGGACATCTGTTAACTGAAATAATTAACATTTGTTAATTTATTGTTATTTTATGGTGATCTTGTATCCTTTTAGACTGGTTATATATATTTATATGTACAAAATCATTAATGCTACTTATATTTCCTTTTAGTCTTTGAAAAGTAAAAGTAAAAAGAAGTCAAAAGAAGAAGTGAAGTCTAGAAGCAAAAGACGTCGTATGCTGAAGAAACAAAAGTAAGAATTAACATCCAACATGTTTATACTTGCCTCCTCAAAAAGTAACTGTTATATTGTGGCTTATGAAATATCACTTCATTGAATTGATACCTAATACTAATGAATAAAATCAAAAATTAAACTTCCACACTATCCTGAATACAATGTAGTTGTTCATGATCATCTATCACTACGGCCTACTTTTCAGGGAGTTTGTTTACTGTTTTTTTGAGAAATAATAATAACATATGATTACAAATAAAAAAAAAAATTTGAAATTATCAATTTTTTTTGTCTGGAAAAAATCCTGTGAAATGCAAGACAAAGGGAATTTGCAACTCAGTTACTATTCGTATAAAGCTTTATATTGAAGAAGATGTGGCATGAGTGCCAATGAGACAACTCTCCATCCAAGTCACGATTTATAAAAATAAACCATTATAGGCAAAAGAAGGGTCTTCACCACTAAGCTTTGACTAACACTGAACAGCTAGCTAAAAAGGTCCCCAAAATTTACTAGTGTAAAACCCATTCAAACAGGAAAAACCAAGGGTCTTATCTGTATAAAAAACAAGAAAAACTAATGAACCACACCAACAAACGACAACTATTAAACATCAGATTCCTGACTTGGGACATGTGCCAACAATAACAGGGGGTTTAAATGTTTTAATGGTACCAAACCTTTACCCTTATCTGAAACAATAGTGTAACATCACAACATAGAAAGACACCTTATAAAATATCAATTGAAATGGCTTAAATCAAAAGACATATTAACACAAGTGAACATACACTGAACAAATAAATTTGATCTATGATACAATGTAAACAATTAAATAAATCAAATTAGTGAGTCCGTCCAGTTTCAGGTTAAAATTTTGGTAAAAGATTTTAGTCAAGGTAGTTTTGATGAAGTTGATCATGAATTCCAATCAACTTGAACTTTGTGACTTCAACTTGAAACTCTGTATTCATGTTCACCATGATATGATCTCTCTTAATTGAATGAAACTACCAATAGCATGAATAAAGGAAGGGAACAAGAAACTGCTGTAGGAGACTTGCTGTCCCAAGGATTTCAAGAAAAAAATGTTTCTGCCTAGTTGGTCAGCTTGTTACATGTATTAGACAAACAACCAAAACTGATTCTGACATGCCCATTTCAGTTATTGTTACTAATTATAAAGATACCAGTTTTTGTCTCGCCTTGACGGAGTCAAAAAGCGAGACATAGGTATGCGTCAACAATGTATTAGTTTGTGATAAGGTCTAGTTCATGGTGAACCACTAGTGGTAGGTCAATGATATTTGGTATGCAGTTGTATTAGCATTGGCACATCTCATTACCTTGGAGATTATTTGGCCCCGCCCCCTCAGTCAAGGTCTATTGACTTTGAAACTTTTCATAGTTTACATGTATTAGTTTGTGATTAGGTCAATTTATGGGGAACCACTAGTGGTAGGTCAATGATATTTGGTATGCAGTTGTATAAGCATTGGCACATCTCATTACCATGGAGATTATTTGGCCCCGCCCCCTCAGTCAAGGTCTATTGACTTTGAAACTTTTCATAGTTTACTTGTATTAGTTTGTAATTAGGTCAATTTATGGGGAACCACTAGTGGTAGGTCAATAATATTTGGTATGCAGTTGTATAAGTATTGGCATATCTCATTTCCATGGAGATTTTTTGGCTCTGCCCCCTTAGTCATGGTCTATAGACTTTGAAAATTTTGCTAAGTTAACATGTATTAGTTTGTGATTAGGTCAGTTCAAGGGGAACCATTAGTGGTAGGCCAATGTTAATTGGTGTTCAGTTGTATAAGCATTAGCACATCTCATTTCCATGGAGAATATTTGGCCCCCGCCCCCTCAGTCATGGTCTATTTAACTTTTGAAACTTTTGCTGAGTTTACATGTATTAGTTTGTGATTAGATCAGTTTAAGATGAACTGCTAATGTTAAGTCAATTATATTTGGTATGCAAATTTATTGGCATTTGCAAGTATCGTTTCCATGGAGATTATATAGCCCCACCCCTGATAATGGTTCATTGACTTTTAAACTTTTACATAGTTTACAAGTTAATGTTTGTGTTTAGGTTTGTTTAAAGGGAAAGACTTATAATAAGTCAATGGTATTTGGTATGCAGTTGTATTAGCATTAGCACATCTCATTCCATGGAGATTGTTTAGCCATGTACCTTCAGTCATGGTTCATCGACTTTGAATATTTGCATAACTTACATGTTAAAGTATTGCTATTTTAATTTCAACATTTGCATTATCAAAATTACAAAAAAGCGAGACATATCTCTGTGATAACAGTTTATATTCTTTTTACTTAAGAGTTGTAAAGGACAAATGTTAACCATTCACTTTTATTTCAGATATTGGGAACAAAGAGAAAAAGAAGGGGAAAATGACAATATAGATGTAGTTGAAAATGATAAAAATAGACAAATAGCAGGAACAGAAAGAAAACCTAGTGATGATAACTTTTATGTGGACATGTTTAAAGATCCATTATTTTCGAAAATGGTGACATACCAAAAGGCTAAAAGATTATCCTTAGCTTTGAAAGAAAAAGGACAGAAAAATATTGATATTTTAGAATAGAAATTTATTCAGTTTGGATTTATATATAGTTTTATGTTGCAAGTGTTTTTTATTTTTCTATTTTCTTTTTATAAACCCATAATCAAAATCTACCTTTAATAGTCAAGTGGATTGTAAATAGGAATTATTTGATTTCATGTATAAGCAATGAATTTTATATATATTTTGAGATAAAATTTCTGCCCTTATTTTTGGTACCAAAGATATGAATAAGATTCTAGAGAGCATGCACATTGACTACTAGTGAAGCAGCTACTTGTATTCAAGAAAGCTTGCACATTGGTTTATTATACAGTGAAGCAGCTACTAGAATACTTAATTCATAATTTTGAATCAAAACTTTATTGCATGTTTCATGGCAGAAAAAGCAAAGCGTCCAAGAAAATCTTGCCCTAAATGTTATACAGTTTTCTCAGACAAACATGCTCGTAGACATCTACTTGAATGTAACGTTCAATTTTGTGAAAGTGAAGTACCTCAATCTGATAACGAAAATATACCTGTATCAAGTGTGGAAAATAACACATCAGATTATCAAAATGATATCAGTGATGATGAACATGAAATAAATTATGATTGTATGAATAAATTCAGAAATTTATCAAATATATCTCATAATAATTTAGAAGATGAGGACATTGAAAGCTACTTTGATAGATGTGAAGATAATCTGAACGATTCATATAGTTCTGATAATTACTCAGATGTAGAGTTTGATATTGATTGTGATGAAAGTATTGGTGTAGATCAAGAACATAATTCAGAGTCCGATATATCTCGGATTACTTATTGGTTTTGTAAACTTTTATTATTATGGCAATGTATTTATTATATATCAGATGCAGCTATTTGTTTTCTTTTGAACATTTTAGCAACATTTTTTAAACTGTTGTCTGTGAATTCAGATGTTTGTTCTAAAGTACAAAATGTTTTCCCCAAAAACATGTACCAGTTGTCTAAACTTTTGAAGAGTAATATGTTAGATTTTAAACAATATGTTGTTTGTACCAACTGCTATTCATTGTATGAATTCGAAGATTGTTATCATATTGTTGAAGGTTCAAAAGTCTCTAAAAAGTGCTCTTTTATAGAGTTTCCTAATCATAGACTTCCTTATTTAAGAAAAAGATGTAATCAGCCTCTTTTAATGGAAATTAAAAGTGAACCTTCAAAAATATTAGCCCCTTACAAAATATACTGTTACAAATCTATTGAGTCAAGCTTAAGTTATTGTGTTAAAAGACAACATTTTGAAGACTTATGTGAACAATGGCGATTGAGAGAAACAAGAGAAGATATTATGTATGACATTTATGATGGAAAATTATGGGATGATTTTAATGGAAAAAAATATAATTTTTTTACAAAAGAGGATAATTATGGTTGCATTTTAAATGTTGATTGGTTTCAACCATACAAACATACTCATTGTTCTATAGGTGTCATGTACATAGCATTTTTTAATCTTCCACGAGATCAAAGATTTAGAAGAGAAAATGTTTTACTAGTTGGTGTTATTCCGGATATGAAAACAGAGCCTAAGACAAACACCTTTGTTACCCCTCTTGTTCAAGAGCTAAAGAAGTCTTGGTCAGATGGTTTTCAATTGTTTTCAAATAAGTCACCTTTGATATTGAAATGCTTTAAACTTGCACTCATATGTGTTGGATGTGACATTCCTGCTAGTAGAAAGCTGTGTGGTTTCCTTGGACATGCAGCAACCTCAGGTTGCAACAAATGTAAAAAGAAATTCCCAGGAACTGTAGGTGAAAAAAATTATGGTGGTTTTGATAGATTAGAATGGCCGTCCAGAGACAACGAAAGTCATCGTCAAGAATGTGGTTTTATAAATAATTCTACTAGCAAGGGAGATAAAGAAAACCTTGAACGTCAGTTTGGTACAAGATATTCTGCATTGCTTGAGCTTGAATACTTTGATCCAGTAAGAATGACAGCAATTGATCCAATGCATAACTTATTTTAAGGAACAGCAAAACACATGCTTTCTGTATGGAAGACAAAGAAATTATTATGTGATGACGACTTTAAAAAAATTCAGACAAAACTGGATCCATTTGAATGTCTCTCAGATGTAGGGAGACTACCTAAGAAATTTGCTTCATCTTATGGGTCATTTAATGCAGATCAGTACAAAAATTGGACCCTATTGTTTTCTATTTATGCTTTAACTGATTTATTGCCAAAGGAACACCTTGAATGCTGGAGAAAGTTTGTGTTAGCATGTAGACGGTTGTGTTCAATGTTTATAAGTGTTGGTAATGCAAAAGTTGCAGATAGATTGCTAATTGACTTTTGTAAAAAATTTGAACAATTGTATGGGCAAGATTTTGTCACACCAAATATGCACCTTCATGGGCATTTATATGATTGTATAATAGATTTTGGACCAGTATATTCTTTCTGGCTTTTTAGTTTTGAAAGAGAAAATGGTATATTAGGCTCTTACAAAACTAATAAAAAAAACATAGAGACTCAATTAATGAGGAGATTTTTAAAAGAGTCTTTTGCAAGGGAAAAAGAATTCCAAATGGATGAAAAATGTATGTCTTTATTCAATGATATGTCAAATACTACAAGGGAGAGGGGTACATTAAATGATGTTTCTGTTTCTTTGAAACCAAGCGTTCTCGATATGTCATCACAATATGTACCTGTAAAAGAAGTATGTTGGGATTTATCAGATAACATTTTTGTTCCTAAAATGAAGGATGCTGTTCTGAGTGATTGTGAAATAAGACTGTTAAGCCAAATGTATTCAACACTGTATCAGTATGATTTTATTGTTTGTCCCTCTGTCAAAGTGTGCAAAAACTTGTATTTAAATGGAACATTGCTTGGTTGCAAAATGAGCAGAAGTGTTAGATCATCCTATATTTTAGCTTATTGGTGTAATAACGAAGGGACAATTGATACTGACAATTTTGATTTATCTCCTCATCCAGGACAAATTGTACAAATGTATAAGCATAGTATTATTGTAAATGGAGAAACAAAGACACATTTTTTAGCGAAAGTAAATTGGTACAAGAATTTACCTGCTTCTGTACAGCACTATTATGGTAAACCGATTGAAATATGGTCTTCAGAATTATTTGTTCAAGAAGGGCCTGCTTTATTTATACCAGTCCACAGAATTAAATGTAGGTTTGTTCATGCGAAAGCAAAATTTAACAGCAGAAATGTAATTATTGTTGCACCAAGAGAGCGTCATATTTTATGAATATGGATCCAGTTATAATGATACAATCTGTAATCATATTGTTTTACTTTGTACAAAAAAATACAACTATTTAAGAAAATTGATTATATGACAATGTCAAAATTACAATATTTTCTTGTCATGATTCCTTTATTTAATTTCATGAATGTGTCATGACTCTTTTGTGTTTTTTAAAGGAAGTACTTTTTATGGAGTGTATTTGATTATTGTAGATATTTATGATGTTATGAGTATTCTTTTTGTATTGGGTATTAAGAATAAGTGTCTTAATGCAGTGTGTTGTACTAATCTTACATGCCAGTTATTGCTTTGAAACAGTAAAATGTAAACAAATTAAACATTAAGTTTACTATTAAATAAACAATTTCGTTACACTTATTGTAGTTATTTATATACCACTGCTAATTATTTATGTTTGTTTGTTTAAAAAAGCTTGAGTTCATGCATGGTTCTTCTAACCAGGTGTTATACATGTATCATCAAATCATACAAATTTTTAATAAACTATTTGATCACTACAGATCATTACTTAGGGAAAATCCTTTCAAATATATAAAGATGTGTAAATTTTATCACGTAACAAAGTATCGGAGAAAGGTCAAATGTTTTCTCAACAGTTTAAGATAGTGAAGTAGATTTATACTCTTTCAGCGAAACATCCTGTAGACAATGGTATTAGAGAGTTTTGCTGAGATTGGTTTATAGACACGACTATTTATAAAAGGTTAAATAACTTTCAGTTCAGGACGAGATGGACCTATTAAATCGCTATGAAAACATATATGAATTTGAATGATCTTTGTTCTCTTGTGCTCAAACATTGAATGTGATTGTCTTTTGTTTTACACTTAAAAATACACAGAGTGAATCAAACATGTTCCTTATTAAATATTTCAACATGCACAAAATGCCACGTTTGCATGTCATCCCATATAAATGTAGACAAAAAGTGGGGTATAATGTTTTTGTCCTCTGTATTTACATGTACAGAAAGTTACATTTTTGACGTGCATAAAATGTCACAGAAAGTCGGTCCTATACATTTTGACATTCAAAAAATATCCAAGGTTGTCTATTCTATACCTTTTGACACGCACAAAATGTCAAAGATTGTCTGTCCTTTACCTTTAGACATGCACAAAATGTGAAAGGTTGTCTGTCCTATACCTTTTAACTTGCACACAATGTGAAAGGTTGTCTGTCCTATACCTTTTGACGTGCATAAAATGTCACAGAAAGTCTTTCCTATACATTTTGACATTTACAAAATGTCAAAGGTTGTCTGTCCTATACCTTTTGACATGCACAAAATGTCAAAGGTTGTCTGTCCTATACCTTTTGACATGCATAAAATGTCAAAGGTTGTCTGTTTTATACCTTTTGACATGCACAAAAGTCAAAGGTTGTCTGTCCTATACCTTTTGATATGCATAAAATGTCAAAGGTTGTCTGTCCTATACCTTTTGACATGCACAAAATGTCAAAGGTTGTCTGTTCTATACCTTTTGATATGCATAAAATGTCAAAGGTTGTCTGTTCTATACATTTTGACATGCACAAAAGTCAAAGGTTGTCTGTCCTATACCTTTTGATATGCATAAAATGTCAAAGGTTGTCTGTCCTATACCTTTTGACATGCACAAAATGTCAAATGTTGTCTGTCCTATACCTTTTGATATGCATAAAATGTCAAAGGTTGTCTATTCTATACCTTTTGACATGCACAAAATGTCAAAGGTTGTCTGTCGATTACATTTCAAGGTTCACAAAATGTCAAAGATGGTCTTTTGTTTACATTTCAACTTACCAAAATGTCAAAGATGGTATTTTGTCAATAAAAAGGCGACGAAATATTATCTGTAGAGGAAGGTAGTCTTTTGATTGTATTTCATTATACACAAAAGTCAATCAAAAGATGAGTTTTCATGCAGTGTTTGATCTGTATTTTCAAGTTTCTTCCAAATTTCAACGTCCTGGTTTTTAGTATCACCTAAATTCATTTTCAGGGGTATATTTGTGTCTGGCTCTCCAACTATATTGTATTCTAGCAATGTCTGTTTTCCTAGACCACTATCTTCTGAACTTTCTTTGATAAGCGAATAATAATAGCTTGTCCTCCTGGAAAGAGAAAAATGAACAATTAATATTGCATGTAAAAATAAACCTATCAATCCGTTTTATTTTTATATCCACCAGAAGAGGAATGCCTTTTTTTTTCTTTTCTTTTTTTTTGCTTGTTAATTGCAGTTTTACAGTAATTTGGACAAATTGTTTCTTTTTGTGTTTTGGGATACAAGTAGTTCGGACACATTGTTTCTTTGTCCTGTATCTACAAGGAGTTCTTGGTGATGCACATGTCACTAAATCTTTTTTCGCAATGTAAGTTGAACTATCTGCTACTATTCTAAGCTCTTCTGTAGAATACAGAAATTGTCTATATTTTGAAATTTAGAAGTGAAACTAGTACAAATGTATGACTTTTCATAGAATTAGGGCGACACGTGTCGTTGTCATGTAAACACCAACGATGTCATAGGGTTAATTTGCAATAAACCATTTGGTTATCAATGGTCCATCAAAATAGAGAATGTTTCTGTTCTGCCCAGTTACATCTCGCTTTCACACTTCCAAAAGACTGTAGCTGAGAAAAACCCTCTAGTTTGAAGACCCATTGATGATCTGTAACCATCTACATGTACCTTACACATATTTAAGGGTCATATCTTTGAAATTACATGTAAAATATAATATTGTTTGTTAAATTAAATATATTTTAGTTTTAATATTCATGTACAGACAATTATCAATATATTTAACTCTGATATTTAACTGTTAATTTAAAATTATTGTGTTTACTTTGATTATTTATGATGCAAACTACCTACCATACTTATATAATTATATTAATATTAACACTTAAAGCCTTACCACAGTAGTGGAAAGAAATTTTTGTTCATTTATGATCAATTCATAATTAAAACCTGGGACAAAAAGTGAACAATAGTCCTAATATCTCCTTTTGTGCCATTCTGAACTCTTTCACCAACATAAATTCTTTCTAAAGATGAGTTGATGGCCATCAAAGACGGTCGGTCTTCCACTATTTGGACCTTCAAACAAATTGCTGTGTTTTATTTGACATACCTTCCGGTTAAATTAAAGGAATGAATGCCAAGACACAACTGAACAACAAATTTATATCAACTTATAGTTTCATTCCTTTTAAAATCACACGGAAAAAAATATATACATACATTTGTTCATCTTTTCCAATTACTTTCCCCTGTCTATGCTCTTCCTTCCCTGCGCAACTCTTGCCAATTGGTAAATTTCCTTGATGCAGTTTGGAGCCCTTGTACTAAATGAGGTGCGTCGTCATTTTCAGAACTAGACGGACTTTCTGTCTGGAAAAGTATTGCTTTTTCCCAGTGGTCATCATCCTACATTCTCCTTTTCAACAGTTTCTGTTTCTTTTTTTTTATATCATCCTGTTCTCCATGCACATCAACGGGCTTTTGCATGTTTGTGAAAATTTTTGAGGCAAAACTGGATTCATGGCAAGTTGCCTTTGTTCATTTGTAACTTTTTGCTTATCATTATTAATTACAGCGTTGTGCATTAGAAGAGCCAAATCGACATACTCTCCTCTTTGAAATGTTTGTCTTAAACTGACTTGCATGTCGTCATCAAGGCTAGGCGAGTAACTAGGTGTGAGTTTGAACATTGAAATCCTTTATCTAACTGTGATATGCCATACACCGATTTTATATCTAATATTAGAGAATATGTTTTTAATATATTGGCAAATGAATGGAGTAAAAAAGATGAAAATAAATTACATGAAATTAAACCTAAATTATGTAAACCTTTTCATACTTGTATGTGCAGAAAAGATCAGTGTGTTATTTCTAGATGCCGTAATGGTCATACTAGAATAACATATGAGTATCTTCTAAAAATTGAAGAAGAACCATAATGTATATCTTGCAACTGCAAGTATATTATTAAACATGTCTTGACTAATTGTATTGACTGCTGATATCGTAGGAAGCATTTCAATGTCAATAACATGTATGATTTATTTGAAGTATAGAGTTCCAATTACAAATAGTGTTTCATTCTTAACAGAAGTTTGAATATATTATAAAAATGTTGTATAAATTCTAAATGATTTTAATTTTTATCACGTTATTTTAGCGTTGAATTTTATTTGTAAATAAACAATTTTAAATAGACTTGAGTTTTAGTATTTTGAAGGACCTGTTGTCTGATTTTAAAAATACACTTTTACAGCTGACTATGCGGTATGGGCTTTGCTCATTGTTTAAGGCCGTACGGGGACCTATATTTGTTAATTTATGTGTCATTTGATATCTTGTGGAGAGTTCGTCTCATTAGCAATCATACCACATCTTTTTTATATTTAAATTGTTAAAATATTTCAATTAGCTATAGCCGCGATATAGCCTTTTTGCGCTAAGCCGGCGTAAAGCAAATACTAATCAATACATAGATTTTCATTCCATTACATAATAGTTCGATACATAATAATATAGTGCATTACCTTACATAACATTAACATTACTATGCAGTACATTTCAATACATTATTACATAACATTGCTTTTACAATACATTAACATTTACGTAACATTACAGTACCATACGTTACACTACATTAATATATTTCATTAAATAATATTACATTAAAAAAAAACATTACATTGCATTACAAATTAAATGAATTAAACGTTTTCGTAAAAATAACGTTATACACAGTAGTTTACTTTTCAACAAAAGTCTGTTCTATTCAAAGACAAAAAAAAAGCTCGACAAATTTTGTTATTTCCCACAGTAGAATCATTATTAAAACTTGAAATTAACTTAAAATATTTCTCTGGCAACGTTTGAATCCTTTACAAAAATGTAGGATTATTTAAAGTAAACAAGACTAAGATATATATTATTTTCCTGCAATATGCGATTTAATTTTTGTTTATAGACATGACTTCGATACCTTATAGAACATTTTTTATATGTTTGCAAAACTTATGTTCCGCTTTAATTTTGAAATGTTTACCAACATTTGATATTGATCCAAAATTATTTTCCTGCCATAAATGTTTATTAAATATTCGACGGAAAAATATGTTTTTCTACACTTTAAATTTTTTTCACAGATTAATGTAACTTGTCAAAAGTTAAGATTGGTTTTCATAATTATTTGCTATTTAAGGTATTTTTCAAGAGCAATAGCAGATAACCAGTAGGTAGTATTATTTTTTTTCTTAAGTAAATGACTTGTTTCTTGGCGTAAATACAATAGTTAAATTTTGATTATTCAATATAACGCAAAATAAATGATTTACAATATAGTCT